GGTTTTTTGGCGGATTACAAACAGCTTGAAGGTGCATACTGCCACCTCCGGAGTCGGCTTGACTCGGTTTGCATTTATAAAGAATGAACACATGTTAATCGTTAATGTCAGATATGTACTAAGAAAATACATTTGTTCCTGCTCAAGATTAGATTCAACTTTATTGTTATTGCACATATTACAGGTACTGAGACAACGAAATGCAGTTTAGCTTCTAACCAGGTGCATCAAGCAGTGAAGTGAAAAGTAATGTACAGAATCTACAGAATAAAATATAGAATGAATTGAATGATGAATAAACAGTGAGGGGTATGAATACACTAGATATACACAGCAGCCTGAGAGCAGTATGAACAGTGTGTATGAATATGCTAAGATATATAAAGTATGAAAACGGTAAGCAGTGCAAGTATAGTATAAAATATATGGATATTAATTTAATGATGATAAACATTGTGGAACAATGATGAAAAATGGGAATGGAAGTGGCGACGTAAAACTGACACAAAACAACAACAAACTTTTGCCGAGCCAATTGGAGAGTTTCATCACCAGCACGTGGAAAAAACCACCAATGAGCGCTCAGCTCAAGATACCAGCGAGTCGTTTCCCATCAAGCATTTCGCTTCCGCAGCCCGTGGAGAGGAACTGCGCCGCCTCGCTGCGCCTCGCTCTCAAGGCTGCGGGCGTCTTTGTCCCGCGAGATTTCAACGTCTCATGTTGGCGAGCCTCCAGAGCAAGTCGGACAAAATGACTAACCATCATGCAACGCACGAGCAAGACGTTGATCGAAATTGCGCAGGTCTCAAACAAGCCTATTGTACCGTACTACGGTGGCCCTGAGAGGCCAGGGTGCTGCAAATAAAAGAACGCTGCAAATTAAAAAAACGCTGCAAATAAAAAGAAACAGAAACGCCGCGCAAATAAAAACGCCGCGATGCAAATAAAAAAGCCACAACGGAAGTGAATTACCGGGGACTATTATTGCTGATGCACATGCGGTTTGTTTATGTGAGAGAAGAAGAAGTCTGGGGGATCTCCAGGAAACATCTCTTGGGTAAGTTTATAATGTTAAAGTTACACAGGATGTAGATAATATCTGTCGCTGCCGTATTTATAACTTTAAATGACGTTATTTTGTGTGTGGGAGCAGATTATGTGTGTAGTGTATAATGTTAGTAGAACATTGCTACTTTTATCTGCTAACGTTAGCTGTTTTCTAAACAAACGGATCTGAGCCGACCGGGACTTAAAGATGATGCTAAGACACACAAAGTAAGTTGAATATGCCTTTATTCAACAGACGAGCTCGGGGGCCTCTCCTCAACATGCTCTGAAGGAACAACTTTTACTGAATTAGGGCTGGGCAAGTTAACGCGTTATTAGCGCGTTAATCGCAGGAAACGCGATTAAAACTTTTAATCGTTGCCCAGCCCTATATTGAATACATATTAGATCTTCACTAACATCCTGTAGTCAATCTTGACTCCATCAACATGTCATCTAAATGTGCCTGTCTAGAGATAAATGAGGGTCTCTTATCCTGCTTAGAGATAGAGAAGGGTCTCTATCCTGTCCAAGACGTGCTTCCTTTGGGAAGTTTACTGGCTTTAAATCTTTCTTCTTTTTTTTTAATGTATTTTGACATTGTAGTAGATGGATGCATGGTTCAGATATTAAGTGATTGCAGCTGATATCTGCTGTTAAATTAGTGTCAGCTGTTTGCAGGTAACATTACCTGCTGCAATAGCTTACCAAGTAGCTGTTACTTCATTGCAAATGAATAACATTCACATTGCTCCTTTTCCACAGGCAATGTATTGTCCATATTGTGGGACTGGTGGGTGTTTTGGGAGGTGTTGCGGCTCCTGTGGCAGCAACATTGAATGTTTGGCTCCCTTTCTCGAAGATGGTAAGCTCCTCCTTAAAAGTCAAGAATTTCACCAGTACAGTGATAATGTCTTATTTGTATATGATTTGTTGCCATTTTAATATATGCTATACACATATTATTGTCAGTCATGGCAATTTCAACATGATTTAGAACTACTGATAAAAAAAAATGCCAACAAGTAAAAAAATCAGGTGAAATACCAAAGTTGACCAATGATGTGTTCCTTCATGTGAGGGTTGAGCCTTCTGATGCGTTTATGCACAAATACAGGCATTAAAAGGGTACCTTTTTGTTCGCTACCTCTAGATTGATATGTATTTTTATCCTTACCAATTATGTAAGTATCCCAATATTTTGTCCTTTGCCTGTTTATTTCTCTTATTTTTTGCTCCTCATGTCTGGAATTGTTCACGCATTGAACATACTGAAAACATACACTTATGCATCAAACAGTTCAGGTATTTTCCTCATTACTGATACATTTTCATTTTGTTCTTATTAAGTTTCATTCCTAATGACACTGTTGTCTTTTCCCTTCAGTCACAGAATCGAATGAAGGAATCGAGGCAGGCCTCATCCACAAGTACTTCACAGAGGGACACGCTTATGAAGTGATACTTGATTTTCTAGAAAAAAGACACAACATTGTTCTTAGTCTGAGGACCTTAAAGAGGAGGCTACAGAACGCTGGCTTAACAAGAAGGACAGACTACACTCCCATTGGCACTGTACACCAAACTGTTGCACATGAACTGAGAGTCTCGGGTCGGCTGTTGGGTTAGAGAGCTATGTGGCAGACATTGCAACAAAAGTATCACCTGACAGTAAAAAGGGAGGATGTTAGACAGACGATTTCCAGACTGGATCCATCTGGTGTTCAACTTCGTTCCAGGCGAAGGTTTGTCCGAAGGGGATACGTCACAGCAGGACCAAACCAAGTGTGGCACGCTGATGGATATGATAAACTTAAACCCTTTGGTATTGCCATCAGTGGCTGCATCGACGGCTTTTCAAGGAAAGTTATGTGGCTCAGGAGTGGCAGCACTAACAACGATCCGGGCATCATTGCGCAGTATTACCTGCAGTGTGTATCGGAGTTTGGACTACTTCCAGCCCGCCTTCGCACTGACTGTGGAACTGAAAACGGCACTATGGCAGCCATTAACTGCACATTACGATCTCAACACACAGATGATTTTGCAGGAGCCCTCAGTCACATGTATGGTACCTCAACTGCAAACCAGCGCATCGAGAGTTGGTGGTCTTTCTTCAGAAAGCAAAGGTATAGCCTTTTAAGGTCAGGTCCAAGAATGTATGTGTGTGTGTATATAGTACAGAGGTGCCCAAATACTTTAAATCTATCTGGATGAAAACAATTGAAAAAATTGTGAAATTACATTAGAGCTGTACACTAACATTTTCCCAAGGGAGTTTATGTGCTCCCAAATGAAATAATGTAGGAGCGCACCAAGAAATGTACAACATTTCTAGAAATATTGTGACTTTTTAGCAAAATATTGTGACTTTTTACTTGAAGTTGTCTTTTTTTCATGAAATACAAAAGTTTTGAAATCCACCATTAGGACTCAGTTCTGGATCGAGCTCTTCAGTGACCTTAGAGAGAGGCACCTCTTCAATGGGAGCCATGAGCACAAGTGTCTGCTGCGATATGTGTTTTTGGGCATCTTACAAAAAGACCTCGATGAGTACAGACAGCTGTGGAACAACCACACCATCCGACCTGTTCGCCTGTCTCAGTGTCCATCAGGTAAACCTGATGCCATGTACCACCTGCCTCACAGGTTTGTATTGAAATTGTTTGGTAATATTACTTTAAAATATATCTGACTTCATATAATTTGGTGTATCAGCCCAATATGACAAGTTTGTCACTTGATAAATAACGTGATTCATTTAGTCTGAAAACTCATTATTTCAAAATGATTTCAAGTCTTAAACGACTAAAAATGGATTCCAACACAACCTAAATCAGAAAATGTCCAAAGCTATTCTGTCGATTTATCTTACTCAATTCCAAAAAGTACCTTGTGTTAGAAAGTGAGTAGAATGACCATATTTGACTGAAAGAGCTGCTGTCAACCTGAGATTAACTTCTCAAGTCAAAGCTCTTTGTTTAGGATTTAATTAACGAAGAACTGACTCAATGGAGTTTTAGTTATAATGCTTATCTAGCATGTTTGGGGGGGTTAAATGATCCATTTGTAATCACTTGACTCATTATGTTTCAATTTATGACTGGTCTTAGGTTTGGCGGAAGGGAGTGTGGATTTCCAGTGTCCTGGGAAGCCCTACACCACTTTGATGGCATCATGCAAGCATCATCCCAGTACAATTTGTGTGGTGATGAGAATCTGGAGATGCATTTTGTGGACTTGCAAAGACGGAGTGGGTTGGCTCCACCAGTGAACTGGACAGCTGCTGTTCAGAATTACATTTCCATGAAAAACATATCTGGAGTGTAGAATACATTGCCCCACCAGCCCCCCAGAACCTTTTTTGTGTGTACAAGTTTCCAATGTAGGTTGAATATTATTTAGAATGCTGCAATTCTGAGTAGATAAGTCCAGTGAAATATTCAGCTTGTATCTTTGCATAAGTCATTAGACTGAAACCTTTCTTTGTTTAAATAAACATACAGCATATTCATATGTTTAGTGTTACATCCGTGTTATCAGTTGAATGGTCGATTGTCAGAAAATTATACACTTGGTAATTGATTTTAATTTTGTTTTGAATATAAGCAGGTTCCAGCCTCTAAAATGTGAATATTTGCTGGATTAATTTGTTCTCTGTGAGGCTTCACTTTCTGACATTTTAAAGACCAAGGCGTGTCCGAAATCACTCTCATTCACACTATAGGGAATTCTATATAGTGAGTAGTGAGTGATTTCAGACACAGCCCATAACAAATTGATGAATCAACAATAATATTCATTGCATCAGTCACATATGCTACTGTTATTTCTGTTTTCACAGTGGATCTCAGAATAAAATCTTGTGAACCAGCTACAGCCGTGTCATCTTTGTAGCGAGTGTGTAACATATATGCTATACGTAGAAAACAAGTCCTTACGTTAAAATGAAACACTTTTAAACCATTTAATGAAGAGTCATTCAGCTTTACTCTTTCACAAAGTCCATGTAAAAACATGATCAAATGGCCAAAACAAAATTGGCACATTTGCACGACAAGGTGCCTTTTGCAGTCTTTATTTACTGTTTATGTAAATATTTGTAAAACATCTTAACACATGTTCTGAACTCTTGATTTAACCACGGTCTACCTTACCTACCTAACGAGAATACAATAACAATACAATACAAATGTGTGGTGTTCACATGTTAGATATGAAATAGGACAAATCTGCCATGAAAAATACTCACATCTCTCTTACGTCACAACATTTTGGTCGGACAGACCGCAACATTAAAACAACGGACTGTGTGTGGCAACATTAACTTTTACCACAAGTTATTTAATTGTTTAAAGGCACCCAAAGCCGGGGGAATTATTAATGCCAAAGTTCATGTTGGCTTTGAAGGCACCATAAGTGTCCAAAAGAGGAAGCTTTAAAATATTGGCACAGGTATTTGCCATTGGGAATGTTGACGTTGTAGAACATAGGAATTGAAGGCGTGGCAGAGGACTCATACCAGCAGGAGGCACACATGGCACACCTGTAGCGAACATTAACACCTCCTCCAAGGTCACTGAGCTGTCATTTTCTAAAAAGTAGAGAACATTGGAATCAATTGACAGTAAATAATATCTACATCAACACCGGAACTTTTTATAATCTGTGTGTATAAAAATCAGACAAGAGCAAATTGACTAACCTTCACAATCGAGAAGATAGTCTGCCCAGTAACTCATAGCTTTCTCTTCCTGAGCCCTTCTGTTGCTTCCCTGTTGACTAAATTCAGGCTGGAACAGATTTTCCATCTCTGCAGCAGACAGCTTCATATCGGCATGACAGAGAGCAGGGGTCAGAACCGTCGGATGCTGCTGCAGAGCTGTCAGAAACTGCAAACTTTCAAGTCCAGCCTTGAATCTAAAATACAATTAAAAGATGCATGCAAAGATACATGTGCATCATGTAGAAGTAAGTAAGCAAGAAAATGGGACAACAGCAACACGTTTTTCATAATTATTTTAGCAATAACAATGAAATACAAAAACCTACCTTTCGATTGCAGTGTTGTTCCTGTGGATTATGTACCACTTCAGGTAATCCTCTACAATCATTTTTTTTTCTTCACATGACCTGACATGTCTGAAGCACCCAGCAGTCTGCAACATGGCACTGTTCCGTATCATCAAGTCCTGAAGGATCTCCACTGAGGGTGAATTCTGAATCTAAAAGAAGAGATAACAGAGTCCCACACATTTCAAATATGACACGTAATTATAAAAAATGGTAATGCCAGAAGTATATCTTGAAAGAATGGTTTAAGTGGACAAAACTCTCTCTTTACCTATTCTAGAATTTCACACCCTTCTCATACCTCTTGTAGGACTTTCCCTATCTCCTCATCTGTAATGTCTCCGACAGATGCCTTGAAACTGCTCTGCCCTGAGATGTAGCTGACCAGATCCTCTGACAGAAAATTAGGACCAGGTCCACCATGCACAATGGACACAGCAATCATCTTCCCTGCTAAATAATACTCATCCTCTCTGATAGCTGTCCAAGATAATGCAGAATAAAGAAATATTAAATCAGTTTCCATATTTGAAAACACTGCAAGGTTGAAATATGGGTTCTTTTAAAATATTATACACAAAACAGAACCTGTTGAATTGTAGACCAGGTAGCGGCTCTCCACAGGTCCATCAAATATGGGCCGTTTGTTCAGCTCTTTCATGAGAAGGGAGAGGAATTCTCTCTTGGGGCCACCTGTATCGAGACCTTCCTCAAACCTCCCTTCATCGTCAGAGAATTTCACCAGGATGTCTTTCTTTTCTGAGAATGTTGCCCTTTTGAATCCTCTGACTGCTCCATCCCAGATGTTCGAGCGACAGATGTTAAATCTGCTGACAGCTCGATGGTCAATCTCTAGGGCCAGGTTTGCAGTTATCTCAGAAAGTGATTGCTGGTCCACCCTGTCATCAGATAAATTATGACCATGTTAAATGGTACACCATAGCACACATTTTGATCAGGAAAAATAACAACCACAGTTGAAGTAAGGGTAACTTTTCTCTTACTTTGTATCCTCTGGAATGTCATGACTGCACTCAACACTGTCTGAGTCATCCTTATCCTCTATTACAATGGGCGCATACAGCTGAGTATATTTGCTGAGAAATTGACATACACAAGTTTACATTGTTGATGTTTTCATATAAAACATACTTGAATTGTAGAAAGGAAAGTATGATACCTATAGCACGCAGTTTCCAGCACACCTCCTGATGTTCCTGGGCCCTCTTGTGAGTCAGAAAATAAGACCTGAATCACAAACCATGGTTTGTGACAGGTAAGTTGAAGTATTTTAAATCATGGCTATCAGAGGGCTGATTTAGAAAGAAAAGACTATTCTAATGTACACAAACGTGGATCTCTGGGTCAGTGTGACACATTATTTCATGTAGTTTAAGACATTAATTGTGTGACAATATTTTCAGACAAGGCTGAATGTGAACAATAGACAATGTTTAGGAGCCACAATTACCGGAGCTGCTGAATCAGTGCCTGACTCTCCATCTGCAGGTTCCCATACCTGGAAGTAAAAAACAATATATCAGTGTGACACTTCAAATTTGACAGAACTTAACACATTTGAACATAAATATTGAATTCTATTATTCTGACTGATAGTGTATGGGATTTGCGACAGGGGGAATGATCCTTCTTACATTATCACTTTCAGTGAAAAACATACAAATTATTATGGTGTGATTTTGCAGGGATCTGCACTAAATAAAGTTGTTTTCTTAAGTTTGTAAAATATGTGTAGGCCAGGACGCTGCAACATTTACCGCAATTTAAAATGCTATTTTGGGACATGTTTCATCGTAAAAAATATGCCTTCTATGTGAAATCTAGAAACATTTTCACTTCCAGATATAATTTATAATATAAGCGATCTAAGATACAACAAATGTAGTACTCACTAATGTATCATCTGCATTGAATTCTGCAGAAGTTGGACTCATGATGATCACCTCTGAATCCGATGAGTTGGATTCAGAGCTGGTTTCCTGAGCTGTGAAATACAAGAACAGGTATAAGAGGATTTTAGACTACTCAGAACAACAGAGTGCTTTCCTTGACAAACAAATCAATTAAAAAAGCTCTTCTTGGTTGGTAATTCATTTCACAATTACTTACAAGATGTAAAGAAATCTTCAGCTGTACAAATGTACAGTGTGATACGTTGGTAGGCCTTCCCCACTACTTCTTTGTACTCGTTTAGAGTGAAGGGTACTTCTGTTCCTGGTATAGTAGTTATCTTTGTACCGTCAGGGTAGAGCAGTACGTAGGGACCGCCATGTAAATTTCTGTCGAAGGTCTTCATTTTTTGCTCAGCAGCTCTCTGCAATTCGTCCGCATCCGACTCTGGTCGCATCAAAAGGGGAAGTACTGTTCCTCTTACAGTCTTCAGTACACCATCTTTCAGCCTCATAAGGCCTACTGAAATCTACAGAGAAACAATGAAATAGGCGACTGTTAACTAGTTCAGTGACACTATAAATACATGACAGAATGGACTGTCGGCAAATTATTAGTATATCTCAGCAAAAAAATGTACCTTCACAACCTTCAGGTTGTCTTTTGATGGTGTTTTTTTTTTTCTTAAAACCTGCTCGTCTCTCCTTCTCTTTTACACTCCGGAAAGTCCGAAATAACTCCAGTGTGCTTTTTCCTGTAGCCTCTGCTTGAAATAAGAGTCCAATCAATCGTCAATGACAAAGAACAGAGAGACATACAGTGTTCTCACCCATACTCATAAGATATAGAGTGTACATTGCCTAAGCCTAATAAAAAAAAAAAATTAAAAAAAATTACCTCCACTTGTGCCTGTTTTATCAACATCACACAGGAATTTGATGTCCTTGCCACATGAACAGCAAAAGGCTGATTTAGAAGCCTGCTGCTGTCCACAAAAAGGACAATACATTATGACCTGCAACAAAACAAATAAAGCATCATTAGGTTGCTTTGCGCTTCAATTGCATGAACATCTATCTATCTATCTCAATCAATCAATCAATCAATCAATGTTTATTTATATAGCCCAATATCACAAATGTTACATTTGTCTCAGTGGACTTTACAGTTTGTACAAAATATCAGTATGACAATACGACACCCTCTGTCCTTAGACCCTCACATCGTACAAGGAAAAACTTCCGGAGAAAACCCACAGTTTAAAGGGAAAAATGGGAGAAACCTCAGGGAGCAACAGAGGAGGGATCCCTCTCCCAGGACGGACAGACGTGCAATAGATGCCGTGTGTAAATTGAAAAGATAATACATTTGCAACATAGGTAGTCCAAATGTTTGGAAATGCATGTGTGTATAATAGGAAGATGAATCCACGAGGATATCCATCCAGGGCCTATGATCCAGGACCACAGCCACGACTCAAGATCCAGGGCTCGCGATCCAGGACAGAGGAGCGCAGGATCATCCATGACTCCGGATCCCGGCGTATATAGACACCAAAAAGAAAGACATTTGGGGAAGCTGGGTTAATCGGAACATGAGAGTACACAGGTATAGACAGAGAGAAGGAAGAAGTAAGATGTCCCCCGACAAACTAAGCCTATATCAGCAAAACTAGGGGCTGGATCTAATCAGCCCTAACTATAAGCTTTATCAAAAAGGAAGGTCTTAAGCGCACTCTTAAAAACGGATAGGGTGTCTGCCGCCCGAACACAAACTGGAAGCTGATTCCACAAATGTGGAGCTTGATAAGAAAAGGCTCTGGCTCCCATTGTACTTTTAGAGACTCTAGGAACAACCAACAACCCTGCATTCTTGGAACGCAATGCCCTAGTAGGACAGTAGGGTATAATGAGTTCTTTAAGGTAAGATGGCGCCTGCCCATTAAGGGCTTTGTAGGCGAGAAGAAGAATTTTAAATTCTATCCTGTGTTCTATAGGGAGCCAGTGTAAGGCAGCCAGAACAGGAGTAATGTGGTCCCTTTTCCTAACTCTGGTTAGTACACGAGCCGCAGCATTTTGAATCAGCTGAAGCGACTTGACTGACTTCTTGGTACACCCTGATAATAAAGAGTTACAATAATCCAGCCTTGAAGTAACAAATGCATGGACTAGTTTCTCTGCATCGTTTTGAGGCAAGATATGCCTGATTTTTGCAATGTTACGTAGATGGAAGTAGGCGGTCCTTGAAATTGATTTTATGTGGGCGTTAAAGGATAAATCCTGATCAAATATAACACCAAGATTCCTTACAGTCTCACTGGAGGCCAAATTAATGCCATCCATAGTTAGTATATCCTTAGATAATTTGTTTCGTAGATTCTTCGGGCCAAGTACAATAACTTCAGTTTTGGTCGTGTTTAACATCAAAAAGTTTAAGGTCATCCACGTTTTTAAGTCCTTAAGGCAGTCTTGAATTTTATTTAGATGATTAATTTCATCAGGCTTGATTGATAAATATAGTTGAGTATCATCCGCATAACAATGAAAGTTTACAGAATGATTCCTTATAATATTGCCTAACGGAAGCATATATAATGTGAACAAAATAGGTCCGAGCACTGAGCCCTGTGGCACTCCATGGCTAACTTTGGTTTGCGTGGAAGATTCATCATTGACACGTACAAACTGAGAGCGTTCAGATAGATAGGACCTAAACCAGTCTAAAAGCAGTTCCCTGTATGCCAACTAAGTGCTCTAGTCTTTGCAATAAGATATCATGGTCGATAGTATCAAATGCAGCACTGAGATCGAGCAAAACAAGAATAGAGACACGTCCCTTGTCAGAGGCTATTAGAATGTCATTTGTGACTTTAACCAGAGCTGTCTCTGTGCTATGATGTGTTCTAAAGCCAGACTGAAAAGCTTCAAATAAATCATTGTTTTTTAAGTAATCACACAACTGTTTTGCGACCGCTTTTTCAAGAATTTTTGAGAGGAACGGAAGATTAGAAATAGGTCTATAGTTGGCTAAAACCTCTGGATCGAGGTTGTGCTTTTTAAGAAGCGGTTTTATCACTGCTACTTTGAATGATTGTGGAACATAGCCTGATAATAAAGACATATTCATAATATTTAATAAATAAGTGATAATTAATGGAAAAACTTCCTTCAACAGCTTAGTTGGAATTGGGTCTAACATGCACGTTGATGGTTTAGAAGAGAGAATCATTGAATTTAATTGTTCAAGGTTTATGGCTGAAAAGCATTCTAGTTTACTATCTAGTGTAATATTAGAACTTACGTTTCCGGGAGCTGTTGATAACACTATACTGGTCAAAGGCAAGAGGTCATTAATTTTGTTTCTAAGAGTAACAATTTTATCGTTAAAAAAGCACATAAAATCATTACTACTGAGTGCTATGGGAATAGAAGGCTCAATCGAGCTGTGGCTTTCTGTCAGCCTGGCTACAGTGCTGAAAAGAAATCTTGCATTATTCTTATTCTCATCTATTAATGAAGAGTAGTAAGCTGCTCTCGCTTTACGCAATGCTTTCTTATATTCATTGAGAGTAATATGCCAAATTAAACGAGATTCTTCAAGTTTAGTAGAACGCCATATCCTTTCAAGTTGTCTCGACTTTTGCTTTATTTTGCGGGTTTCGGCATTATGCCATGGAGCTAGTCTATGTTGTTTTATTTTCTTCTTTTTCAAAGGAGCAACAGAGTCTAATTTTATTCGCAGCGCATCTGTAGCACTATCAACAACATGATCAATTTGGGGTGGTGTACATTTTGTATAAGTTTCCTCCCTTACATGCAGACATGCTATCGAGTTAAGTATTGGTGGAATCTCTTCCTTAAATTTGGCTATAGCACTAACAGATAGGTTTCTGCTGCAGGAGCTTTTGACTAATGCTTTGTAGTCTAGTAACAGTACTTCAAAAGTTACTAAGAAATGGTCGGATAAAGCAGGATTATGCGGTTCGACTAATAGTTGCTCAATTTCAATACCATAAGTCAGAACAAGGTCGAGAGTGTGATTATAGCAGTGGGTTGGTTTATTTACACTCTGACAGAAACCAACAGAATCTAATATAGAGTTAAATGCAACAGTAAGGCTATTTTTATCATCGTCAACATGAATATTAAAGTCACCTACGATAATTACTTTATCTGTTTTAAGAACCAAAGTTGATAAAAACTCAGAGAATTCAGATAAGAATTCTGAATAAGGACCTGGTGCACGGTACACTGTAACAAATAAGATTGGCTGCAAAGTTTTCCAGGTCGGATGCGTAAGACTAAAACGAGACTTTCAAAGGAGGTATAATTTAATTTTGGTTTAGTATTGATAAGTAAACTTGAGTCAAAGATGGCTGCAACTCCACCTCCTCGGCCCGTGCCTCGGGCAATATGAGTATTGATATGGCTGGGTGGAGTGGCCTCATTTATGCTGACATATTCTTCATGTCTCAACCAAGTTTCAGTGAGACAGCATATATCAATATTATAATCTGATATTAAAATCATTTACCAATATTGCTTTAGATGCTAGAGATCTTATGTTTAAGAGACCACATTTAATATTCCTGTTTTGTTGCACTGTAGTAGTTGTTACATTTACTTTGATTAGGTTATTATGTATGACACCTCTATTAGGTTTTACCTTAACTTGTCCTTGGGCAGACACACACACCGCTAATATTGGGTATTTATTGGGTTCGGGATTCCTATGGATGACTGCCTAGGAGAGAGCGCAGAGAAGCGTGTAAGACTGCGACTCCGCCTCCTGGTCTCAACTCCAGTTGTCATGGATTAAGTCCACAAAGCCCTGAAATGTTTGCCGAAATGAGATCGGCACCTTCCAAAGTAGGATGAATGCCGTCTCTCTTAATCAGACCAGTTTTCCCCAGAAGGCTGTCCAATTATTTACGAAGCCACATTGTTTGCTGGGCACCACCAAGACAACCAGCGCTGAAATGATGACATGCGGCTATACATGTCATCATTGATCAGATTGGGGCGGGGTCCAGAGAAGATTACGGTGTCCGACATTGTTTTAGCATAACTACACACCGACTCCACATTAAGTTTGGTGCATTCTGATCGGCGTATACGAACATCATTACCACCGACGTGAATAGACAGATCCTACTGTATTTACGTTTATTTTTAGCCAGCAGTTTAAGATGCGCCTCAACGTCGCCCGCTCTGGCCCCCGAATGCATGTGACTGTGGAGGCTTCGGTCTCTAATTTCACGTGTCTCATAATAGAGCTACCAATAACCAGAGTTGGCTTCTCAGCGGGTGTCTCGCTGAGTGGGGAATATCTGTTAGATACGTGAACGGGTTGGTGGGGACCTGCGGGTTTCGCGCGTATGCCCCTTCTGAAACAGTACACCAGTCTCCCTGCTGCTCGGGAGTTGCCGGGGGACGGCTAATAGGAGCTACCTTTTGCCGGTCCGCACCGGCTAACATGGGCTTTACTGTAGCTGAGTTTCTTTCTAGATGCGCGGAGCCGGCTTCTAGGTCTATGATTCCCGCCTCCAACCTAACAACTATACTACATTTAACACATGTACCGGTACCAGTAAAGGAGTGTAGGGAAGTAACCAAACATGAGGACAGTTAGAGCAGGAAATAGCACCCGAGGGTGGGGAAAGAGCCATGGCTAGCTATCAAGCTAAAGTAGCTACCGTTAGCAAACCCGAAAAGAGTGTAGGCAACTGTGGAGTTACAGTCGCTAAGAGAAGGAGAGTTGTGAGAGCTTAAGTTATAGTAACGTGTGATTACAACGTCAGGCAGTTGCCGTGATCAAGAGTTTTAAAACGATCGATTAAGTTAAGATAATAAGCTATCAGCAACAGAAACGGACACACGGGATACCCGGAGATGACAACAACCGGAAGTTACAAACATGCTTACCCGCAATAGTGGTCCGTGTAGAAACAGTATCAATCTATAAAGCAAGAAATGTCTGTGTGTGTGTCTCGCATATCTCTCTGACTGTTTGTCAGATCGATCTAAACTTTCGTATATGGCTTGCGGATTGCACGATGATGTGCATCCTTCATTTAGAATTTTTTGGGATTAATTTTTCTAAACCTTTATTTTTGACGAATCTAC